CATGTTAAACTGCGGCATATATCTCAGTGGGCGAGCACTTTAAATCTGCATGTGTCCAGACTGGTACAAGCAGCCACACGCACGCACCATGCTATATGAGTGCAATAGTCTTTGTAAACCCATTTCACCTCACCTATAGCTGTTTAAACTTCTCTATTCTGGATTTAAACTTCTCTGTTCTTTCCATGAAGATCCGGGGTAGAATAGGTCTTCACCAACCCATTCTTGCTGTAAGAGGCGACTATGCTTGTTGTAAGAGGCCACTAATGGGATCGGGTGGTCAGGCTCGATGACTTTGTTGATATATGTCATTGTATCCCAATCACGTAGATTAATGCTCATGATGTCAATCACTGGATTGTCTGATGCAGATTCGATTATTTGCAGACCGCTGTCATAAAGCTGGAATATTGCTGAGTGTGGCATTAAACAACAAACAAAACAAAATCTTTCCTTGTGACATTTCAGTACAGACACAAGTATCCTCAATCAAGCATGTACGTATCACTTGCTTGGTAAAGGTACAAGCATCATTTCCGAAACTCAGAATTGAAAGAATTCAGAGGTTGAAACCTATAAGTCAACTTATAAGTCTTCATAGATATTCAAACCATCAGGAACACTGAACTGACATGCATGATCACAAGGGCAGTGTAGAAGTGGCTATATAAGATAGCTACATGATAAATCAGAAAGAACAATGAAGAATAAAGCATGGTTTATTTCAAGTTAAGACATTGTTCTATCATGCAGCCATTTCTTGAGATTCCAAACTCATTTAAATCAGATCTTAGTTCTTGCTACCGCTAAACAAAGATCTGAGGACATCCCATTACAGGTCATGTCAGACCGACCTTGCGCCAACTTTGACCGACCAATGGAATGACCAATCAGAAGGCAGTTTTCTCGTGCTTTATGGCACTTATTTCAAATTCGCGACTACGCTTCGAAACATATTTTGACAAGTTTTTAATTACAAATTTGAAACCTGAACAAAAGAATATTCTGGAATGGCTAATAGCATGAATAGATGGTCTAGATTGTATTGATTCATTAAACCCGTAACTATCGTTCGGAATACCCCGTGTTAAAGTTTTCGAGGTTGCATGATTAGAAATCACATTCGGACTGTCACTTTCATAATCTGGTAAGCGACGCTCTGATTGGTCGGATGAAAGGTCGTTCTGATGTGACCCCTAATGGGATGTCCTCAGATCTTTGTTTAGCGGTAGCGAGAACAAAGGTCTGATTTTAATGAGATTGTTGAGATTCGAACATGCGCTCGCAACTTGATAACGTGGTAAATATGACTTTGTTATTTTTGAGAGGGAAGTGTCTAGTGAGTTGTTACTCTTAGATTAAGCTGGGCAACGCAGATACACGCAATGCCCAAATGATGACATCCCAAAATTGTCGAGATATGACAATCGGTATTTGAAAAGGTACCGATTATTGATGTGAAAATTGAGAGAGTTTGGGATAAATGCAAAACTGTACATAAAATGGACTTGTCTGTCATTGCCGACATCAGATTGTATTCAGGGAGTCATCCTTATTTAAATATGTGTAAATATATTTAAAGCTTGTACATTTTATTAAAATCCTTAAAAGAGCCTGTACATAATGTTGATATCTCACATAAGAAATAAATGACCTGTGGTTGTTGTTTATCAGACAATAAAACACTGCAGGGAGAATAAACCACCTGATGGTTTATTCTCCATGCAGTGTTATATTGTATGATAAACAACTCCCACTCATCGTTTATTTCGTAGATAAAAAATATTGAGTTAAGATCAATCAAAAGTGAAGGTCACCAGAGGTCACAAAAACTTGAAATTGGGCTTGAGGATGTGAGTTGTGTTTTGAACAGTATTTCAGTAATATCATCATGATCACTGCATGTCAACTTAATCAAGTTAGTGTTTGAGAGCCAGGAATGATGCTAGCCTTACTATTTATTACTTTGGAGCTGACAAACCAATGATTATAATCAGGGTGATCCTTGCATTCAAAATCAGGAGCATAGTATCATGGCATTAATAAGGGACACAACTCTGCAAAGAAACTTGTCTGCACGACTCAGGCTCCCGTTTGGCTGGGATTTCTCGTAAAATCATTCAGCTAACTAGGAGAATGAGACCTGTAATTCAGGTAATCTTACCTTTCATTGTGACAAAACTAAGATCAGTTAGATAATAAATATATTGCAAATGATTCTGTGCCATTTGATTGGCTGTTTCCTGATTGGCTGTTTCCTGATTGGCTGATAATAAAATGGGTGGGTATTGTGTTGTCTTATTGTGCTGAACGATGTCACAGATTTATATTTTTTGTCCTTTTTTTTTTTTGCTGATTAAAAAATCAGCCTGTGAAGCATATTTGATGACATATGTAGTTTTAAAAATGTACTTTGTTTACTGTTTATGGAGTTATAAATATAAAACCCTGTGTGCATACTTTGCATAAATCCATGGATATCTGGTCAACTCTTTATTATGAGAAACTAGAAGCATGAATTCTCTTTTGAATCATGCTAAGAATTTTGAATTTGGGGGTTTATTACATTGAGGAAATTCTGAATTTAACTTGCCAGGAAACTGGGAACATGCATCCACTTGACTATCCCTGTAGTCCTAAGAAGATGTCTGATTGTCTTTTTACACAGTCTGGTTTAGATATGGCATGTTAGAGATTGGCATCTTTGTAAAGTAAATGAACCCATCTAAAACAAATAGTCATTCATGGAGGAAACCTCATCAATCTTCCGTTTCTATGTTGACATAATGTAAGTCTGATGTATACATCAATGTTTAACGTTTCATGTTTAACATGTTTACGCAGCATTTGATAAATGACACGTGTTGAAGTATGCGTTAAAAACCTTTACGACATATTTCGATTTTAATGTTTAGACAATATTTGATAAATCACATAGACTAAGGACAGGCCTTGTTTATCTTACTCTTACAGCAAGTAGCTTTCTTATCTTTAAGCTCTCCAAAGTTTGACTTCCCATCCAAATCCATCCATCATACATATCCCTGCCCACAGCTGTCGGATCACCTGTCTGCCTAATATCTGGTCCATAATTCAATACTACAGGAAATTGCTATGTACATATGATATATTGAGCATTACCCACAGACAGCACATCCAGTCCTATATTATACAGGATTAGACTTACAGCAGATCCTACAATACACATGTAATCTGGAATTTGGGAAAATGTTCTAGAGTGCATTTATTTCTATGAAATATATAGCATGTTCCTGAGTTGAGTTTGTTCATCTTCGTATCTGTGACTTTGCATTCAAACAGTCAAATCTATGTAGGCTTTCCCAGTTTTGCTGTGCTTGCATTTTCTTCTGTATGTGTGATCTGACAAGCTTATGGATTTCTAGCTATATATGTATAACGAAGGCATAAGGGGACGAAAGCCACGGATACGAGAGTTGATCTATTGTAAGGTAAAAGAACACATTCATTGACCGACCTCCATGAAATTGGCAAAGGAGTCTGCCTGCGTTTTGTCAGCCGGAGCATGTTCGATCTGGATCGGTGTCGGTATTTGGTCGCATTCTTATACTAGGTGATGCAAATTAGTCTCGGATAATCCACAAATGGCTTTCGTGTTTAGGATTGCTTGTAATTAGCCCCTCCGGGCCGTGAATTATGCGTGTGGCCTGACTGGACCCATACTAGCTAGTTGAAACAGAGTGGTGCTTGTAGAAGTGGTTTTGTGCAGTGTTGATGGGTGCTTGAGTTTTTTTCTTTAGTGATGTAGTTTTTGTGTAATTGACGATGATGCATGACCTGTAATTGACATCTTTCTTATCAGTTCTTTTCACGTTCACTGCAGGTACTTTTCACTGTCCAACGTTACTCACTTACAACTTAATAATCTTGTGTTTCTGTCTCTGCTGGAAAAGAAATTCTTTTGAGGTTAGGCTATCTGGAAATCAACAGGATTGTCGGCAGTCTATGTCAGGGGTGTACTTTAGTCAATTTTGTGTTGTATCCTGTGTGGGGAGAGATAAGAAGTGGCATGGTCTTGAGAAACTGGTTCTTTAGAATTGAAATGAAATAATTCAATTACTTCTGTACTGTTACAGCTATGTTATCCTGTAAACATAGAAGGCAGTCTACATGATTAAGACACAGACACAATAGGATTTAGGTCTTACTTGTGTCCATAACCGACAGGAACTGGACACGTTATTTTTTTCAGGATGTTTCAGTTTCTTCAACATTGTTCACACTGTATGGTAATTCATTTTGACATACTTTGGAAGGACCACATCTTTCTCTCCATTACATATAACCCATCACAAGGCGAAAAACCAATGACTGTTTGATTGTGATGCATGATCACATGCTTAAGATTATGATAGTCAGAATCAGACAAAAACTCATAGAGATTTCTGACGATTATGGAAAGAATTTGGTCCCTTTTATTGTCTCTTGTATAAATATTTTTTCGATTTTCTAAAATTGTCAGTTTATCATGGTTTGTCCTTTCCAATTTCTGTCATATTTAATATCCTTTAGTTCAGATCTTCGTTTGGAAATTTGTCACCAACATACCAACACAGAACTGATATTAGCACCATATGATGGAATATCATCCTGAATACTATTCATGAACAACACTTGTTTCTTTCACATATTTTACTATAGTCTTGATAAACATGGTAAGACTTTGTTGACTGCCGTATTACCCAGGGATTAACTATGGGCCTTAAGTCATCACACCCAAATCAAATCTCTCTACTCGGAGTTACGCCTGGCCACAGATATAGATGATGATACTGGGCTTGTCATAACTCCTACAATTCGAGGAGTCATTGATTTTTACCCATTGATGGACAGTGAAGCAGTCTCATGAAGCGTACTTGCTTGTACGCTAGTAGCTAGCTGGCAGGGAGGGAAGCTAGCCAACTGTTGATCTGCTATCATTTATAATGTAGTGGCAGAAGATGTGTGTTTTCTACTTGCAGCTGAGACTGTAGCTACACCGGTCCCTTTACTGTGGGATGGAGAGTGAAGAAAGTGGCGTCTGCACACAGTCTGTCCGGCCGGAGTCCGTCTGCTCGCCCAAGTCTGAGGTTGCCAGTCCAGATTCTGTTGTCCTTGAGTCTATTAGTCCTGAGTCAGTTTGTCCAGACTCGGAGAGTCCCCACTCAGGATCTACCAGCAGTGAAAACTCTAATTGGCAGTCACGATGTCAACTTTTAGAAGGGTCCTTGCTCCGTTTTCAGCAACAAGCAACTCGGATACGAGAAAATCTTGGACACCAGGTAAGTTTGTTAATGTCACTGAAAATGATTTAGAACATCGGTTTGAAAATTTATGACTTTCAAAAGTTTATGGATTAATGGGACAAAGGGGAGATAACTCCTCGTGGCATGTTTCCACAATGTATTCTGATGGCGTTATTATTTGTTGCATATTAGATTGTGTTTGATTCTACCCTCCGAGTGGAATTCCAACATGATATTAATATAAACTTTGATAATTCATTGATTGTAGTGATTATTTGATCTCTTATCTAATGTATCTCTAATGTAGCAGGTTGGAAACTTAATGTTATGAACTGAAACTGGTGTATAAGAATTCCTTTGATATGATTAAGCAGAAGATTAAAATAACTTAGTAGAATGGAAACGTGAAATTAGGTACTGAATGTGTCTTTGCAAGATGGTTTTAATACAAACAGGGTAAGTATTTGTTTTCTTGCATATGTCAATATATTCATATGAGATTCTGTCACAATATGGCTGAAATATTGCCGATGTGACATTAAATATTAACTCACTCATATGAGATTCTAAGAAAATTCCAACACTTTCAGGAAAATTGGGATCTTCAATAACATCTCAGCTGATCAGTGTTGCCTATGAATATTGTATAAAATCCCCACCTGCTGTCAACATGGTCAACATAAATACTACTTGGTCTCATATAAACATGTTTGTGGTGCTTTACGAGCATAATTAAACACAAAGTTATGCAGTTGTTAGAAACATGTCACATGCTTACCGACGCATGCATTCCCTGATGCAGTGCAGGGTAGTCAAGTGGTGAAAGTGTTAACTTGTCATGGAACAAGCTGGTTCAATACCCACATTGGAATTGTGTCTGACACGATGTCTACATGTCCCTTGGCTCTCAGTGCTGGAATGTTGGTCAGTCAGGCGTACACACAGAAGATATTCCATGCAGACGCCCTAGTCCCTCTCTCACTCAAGCATCCAGTGCAATTAAGGAAGGTGTAAACTCTTTAACAGGCATGGTGGTTCTTGGTTATCTCTTTTATAATCGGTGTGGGCAGGTAGTGTGAAAATGTTTTGTTGCCTGAATCTCAGAGGTCTAATGCAGAACTGACATACTGTCATCACATGTACCAGGCATGGTGGTTCTTGGCAATTGCGTATTTAAATTGGTGTGTTGGAAGTCTCTCCATGTTTAACTGGGATCTATTGCTCTTGAAACTTAACTAAAATGTCAAACGGGGATTTTGCTCCACTCCAGTGTTAAGAATGAAGGATGTTTATAAATATATCAAATGATTAAGGGCATGAGACAAGGAACGTACACAGTTGGAGGGTTTACAGTAAGACCCGATCAATCTGGACAATTCTGAGAGAATTGATCTGAAATAAAAAGGTAATGTCCCTTTAATTACCAGGGTTACCCTGTTACTCTGGACACCATGTTTATAGTTAAAAGGTACCTGTGTATACCTGCAATTAATCATTTTAATGCTAAATTTGAACTAGGGTCCTCCATTATATGTTTAGAATTGACATAGTCCATTGTTACCATGGTAATCTTAATAAAATACATTGTTGCCATGTAATCTTAATTAAATACATTGTTACCATGGTAATCTTGATAAAATACATTGTTACCATGGTAATCTTAATAAAATACACATTTCTGTGGCAGTGAAGTATTGTATTTTATTAAGTATTGATGATAATACAAAAAAAATAATTGTATCACAGGATCAACTTTAAGAATTTACCTTTACATCAATATCAAGATATGACTTAAAAGAAGTAAAAGAACACCCAATTCTTTCATATTACTATAGTTAATCATTGACAGATTAACTAAAGTAATATGAAAGAATCAGGTGTTCTGACATATTAACTATAGTAATGTGAGAGAATCAGGTGTTCTTTGACTTCTTTTGAATAGTATACAATGACGTCTTTAGTTTTATGAAAAGTTGAGAACCAATAACCTTTTGCCCAGAGTACAGCACAATGAATTACATAGCATTCTATAGAACACCGGAGCAGAACTCAGCTAGGAGCCATCTATCACAGACATTGTTAATTTGTTACTGCGGTTGTACAACGAGTCCACAGACTCCCCATGTCGTCATGAGCTTGTTGGGACGTCAGTCATGTGATTTGTAAATACATATTGGTAGCCTGTATGTAGCAGTATGACTGCTGCCAGTGCTGTTGAAAGGTGGATTTGTCTCTTGGGGGCGACTCGAAGGAAGGCAAACAAACAGTTCGGTATTTGGATATACTACTCAAAAGAAGTTAAGGACCATTACTTCTTTTTAGTAGTATATTTGCTGTAGATGCTTTTGAAAGAACAAGTGTACATAATGTTTTTATTATATATATAATATATCTATGTATATATATATATATTTATGGCCATAAACAATTAATTATTTGATTTTTCACCCCACCCATCTCACTACCAGACGCCAAGCTTCATCTCATTATACCCAAGTAGCTACAAACAAAGTAAATATCTTCATTAGACTGACATTTAGTCCCAGAAATAAAGTTAGCGTGTTTAAAAGTATATATCTACAAAATACAATATAAGTCCAAATGGAGCCCAGAACAATTCTTAATTTCTAGAGCTGAGGTAATCCAATATGCCAAATCATTCTAGAATTGGATTCAACTTTTATTTATTTATTTATTTATTTATTTATTTATTTATTTATTTATTTATTTATTTATTTATTTATTTATTTATTTATTTTATTTATTTATTTTTTTATTTTTTATTTTTTTTATTTATTTATTTTTTTAAATATTTTTTTATATATTTTTTTAAGATTAATTATTATACAAGTTATTCCCTTGGGTCTGGAAGACAGACTATTGCTGCATGTGGTGCTTGTGTTTACTTGATAGAACAGCAATATGTATTACCGTATTCGACGTAATAAGCGCCCTGCTCTAATAAGTGCCCACGGCGGTATTTGCTAATATATTGGCTAGTGAACAATCCCAATTAGCACCCCTTCCAATTGATCAATGTTCACAAGACTTATTAATTCGCGTACAATACGCACCCATGTAATTATGGGCAATTCAATTCCAGAAAAATATATCTGTCGCACATTAACATTTCAGGCTGTCAGCATAAACCACGAAATGTATCTTTCAACTCTGTTTTTTTTCACCAAAATAATATTCTAATAAGAGCCTCCTATTTCTAATTTTGTGAGCGCCCTGGGCACTTATAAGTCTCACCAAGTTAACATGCCAAGATATCTTGAACAATTTTGTTTTCAATAGTTGAAAAGCTAATAATTAATTTATCATGGCCTAAGGATATGGAAGTGGTAAGCAAAATGAAATTCCACTGATTGTCAGCTACGACATGATTAAGTTGTTCCTTTTTGAAGATGGATGTGACTTTGAAGATAAAGAGAAAGATTTGTTTAAAAGGAATTTTAAAACAGTTGTTCATGCCATTTCATGTTTCTTCCTTATAGATATATTTATACCTGTGTGAGGTAGCCTCGTGGTCAAAGCGTTTACTGACCGCCTCTGTAGTCTAGTTGTAGACAGTCCGCCTGGAGAGTGTATGTTTTGGGGTTCGATCCCCGGCTATGTCATACCAAAAGATGTTTAGAGATGGTAATTGTTGTAAACCTCACTTGCTGGCTCAACCTCTCACTCTCTCACTCACCCACCCACTCACTCACCCAGAAGGGCAGTGGGGTAGCCTAGTATTTATAGCATCGCTTGTCACACCGAAACCCCGAGTTCTATTCCCCTCATGGGTATAATGTGTGAAGCCTATTTCTGGTGTCCCCTGCCATGATATTGCTGAAATATTGCTAAAATATTGCTAAAAGCTGCATAAAACCATACTCACTCACCTACTCACTCGCTCGCCCACTCGGCCACTCTCTAACTATCCATTCTTTTGATTCTGAATCCCAGCTGACAATTAAGCAATGAGGATGTGACAGCCAGTTGTAAATATCCCAGTGTGTCAGTTGTGCCATGCCGATCATGGATATTGACAACCCCAGCTTGTAATGACAATATCATGTCTCCCTAACCACCACCTCCACTGATGTACATAGCCTAGCAGCGTAAAACCTGAGCCAGGATTTAGAAAGCATTTACAATCTACTTTAGAGTTTGACGAAGTTTGCCTGTCCAATATCGCCTTGAGGAATAGTGGGATATTGGTACATTGCAGTGTTCCGAAACTCGAACGATCCTTTCAGATTAATAAACACCTATCATTCATATGTCCCCGACAAGTATATTCTGTCTTTGATCTTATTTTTCGCGTGGGATGTTTGTTTCGCGAATACTTGGGTGCCAAGATGGAATAACGATGATATTGATTTCTTCATGCCGTGCATAACAATGTCAGGAGCAGATGCCCCTCTCTGCAATAGGAAATAGACAACTGTGACACTGTGTATATTTCAAGTGTTTGATTGGCTGTTATGGATAAGGTGTTTGATGCTGGTGCATAGAAGTGAAAGTTGCTGTGACTTGGTCAAGGTTGATGATAAATGATTAATGAACTCTTCATGAATAGAGATGGGAGTTTCTTGTGGATTGACCAAGTTGTATCGGCAAAGTAATGAAATGTCTTCGGTAGAGTTTTTTGGTCTGTGATGCTTGAAAAAGCTATCTTGATGATGGGTTTGCAAAGGACAGAGATGACACATCAATGTGGCATCTTGGCGTCAGATTATAGATTATGGTTATCGCTGTATTCTAGCAGATAGCAAGCAGTATTAAGGACTTGTTAGTTGGTTACTCAGTTTGTGTGGGATTTCTGTATCACCTCTGTGTGGTGATTGGCTGATTGGGGCGATCTCACATGCTTGCAGTGAGTGAGTGAGTGAGTGAGTGTGGCTTGTGGCCAGCTTTCCTTCTCTCTCATTATTTCCCATGACTTTTCTAACTGCAGGTCATACAGACTGGCAGCAGTTTAAAGCACCAGTCCAAGGTCCCATTCCTCAGTGCGATCATAGTGCTGCGACTGTCGTAAGCTTATG